ATTTAAAGAGCTATTTGGGCCAAACCAGAGTCACCCGCTGGAAATGATGAATTTCGCCTAAGCCGAAAAGGTGGAAGGAGCTTAAGAGTGCGCGAACCAGTTTCATGTACGGTAAGCCATTCTGTCCAGATGACGTTAACCCTAGTTTTGCGTATGGAGCCTGTCGGGTGCTGTCCCGAAGTTTCTATTGTCTCCTTCATCTGTCAGCCATAGAAGGAAATTTTATATCCATTTAAGGAATAAAACATTACCCCACTACGCTCCGCTTCTGATTTCACCTCCTCTGGTGGAACACAATATGGACAAATGGTGTTGAGATTCTGGTCATCCACCTAAAATCGTCGATCATGCGGTTAATTAGAAAATCAAACAGATCTTGAATGGATTTCATTTCCACTAACTTTCCATCCTGACATAATCTCCTCATCGTATATCATCATTCGGCAGTTTGGACATGGTGTACAAGACGACAGTGTCACGTCGACGATACCTGAACTTGGAGATGGTGCTTCCTTCGCCTCCTCTTTCTCCACTTTACGCATTTCATTTCGTCGCAGTTGCAGATAAACCTTAAAATTACAGAACAGATTAGCGGGCTATTGATGACAAGCGCGCTGTTCACACCTCTCTCAGCCACCAGTCATCACTCAGAATGGAGTCGGCCTTGCCACAGTCTAGCTGGTAAGCGTTGTCCTCTTCATCTATATCCACCGCCTCATCGTCCTGTCAAGTTTGTTGTAAGGAGACGCAAGGAAGGAACATAGCTTCGAGCAAAAAAAAACATAGTCATAAGAAACTCCGATTGCTGTACATACCGAGTCGTCGCCGAAAAGGGTCCCACTGCCCCGTTCACGATAAGAGCGGTTGAGGCTTTTGACTTCGCGCACTAGTGAGGAAACTCCTAGCTTCAGCTTGGAAGAGACAGCTGAAAACCAGGGGCTCAAAGAAATCGAACTTTTGACTTTCTCTCGAACAACCAATGTTAACAGAAGTTGGACGTATGTCGTATAGAAAGAATGGTCCGAGAAAAATGAAACCCACCGTCCATCCGGACGTCATCATATCCCTTCCATACTTGGTTGACAAGGGCATGGAGACTTGGACTCACTGACATTCCTTGCGTTTCCGGATCTGGAGGCTTTGGATCTAGAAACAATGTACAACTTCCGAGGCAGTGTTCTCGACGGAGAAAGTTTTACTGCTCTTGGTTGTGTATTTAAATTCAACGTTAAAGACACATTCCGCGATTGTCCGATAAGTACAATCCCTTCTTGGCATAGAATAGCTCACAAAACCTCACAAGATGGCGAATCCAAACTGAACTTGGAGGTACCTGAGGATGTCAGTGCCCTTACAGACCCCACCCACCAGTTGGCGACTCCACTCAAACACGGACAGTGTTGCCTTAGAGGCAAACTGCGAGCTTACCTCCGCAGATCCTTGTACTTGCCATGCGTTAGGCGGATTAATGCGCAGCTGCATATGCGCGCCACTTTTTTTCGCTCGAAAAAAGGGAGCGGGTCTGGAGGGTAAAGAAGCGCAGGTGCTTTCGCAATGAATCTTTCTGTCCTCCCATATAATGTGCCCTTGTAGAAAATTCAAAAATTTGCCATCGAAAATAGAATACTGATGTGTCACACCGAAATTCTAAACCAAACTGCGATGCTAACGTATTTGGGGGGGGGGGGGGACCACGCGGCTCGCGGCGAGCGATGACTCATCTGCTCTTCTGCTAACTCCTCAGCAAAATAGAAGTAATTTCATGTTCAGGACATGAATATAACACCGTCCTAGCTATATTCAAAAGGTAAAACAGTTAACACTGAAAAGTGCAAAGAAACAGTTGTAGGCTGGAAGATTCTTGCCTAAACTACAAAAGATTGTTGCCTGTTTGTTGTTGACTGTTATTGTTGACTACAAAAGATCAAACATTTGTTTTCAGCTTCTGTGGGATTTCTCAGCAAGTTCCCGGTGAATCTTGTTTGTTTTATTCTAATTTGGCTGCTAGATTCGCGCTTCAAGTATGCCGATGAGTGAAGAGCCGATGAGTCATCACTCGCCGCGAGCCGCGTGGTCCCCCCCCCCAAATACGTTAGCACCAAACTGCAATAAACTACTGCAAAAGCATGCACTGCTACCTTAGTGGGACGTGTTCTTAGACCCTTTTCTTCGCAGGTGAGTGAGATGCGTCTGCAAATTCGTATCTGAACAACCCACCATCAGTAATTTGTCATAGCAGAATGTGTTTTTGAACGATGAATTCACTTGGTCACTCTAACACGGAGTTCAGTGAATAATTTCAGTGTTAGAACACGATTACGGTCATATTCGCAGAGGATGAAGGGGCTTGTCAGGAAGGATTAGTTTGAAACGGCGGAAAACTCGTTTTCTACCAGTTGTTGTCGCTTACCCGCTTCAGCAGCGAGTCAGACGAGACGGCTTTGGCGCCGAGCAAACCATCCCGCCTGGCACACCCCCGATCGCAGCGAACAAAACTGTACATGCACATGCTTGCGGCACTAAAATGTTAGAGTGCTCTAAAGTTACTGAGAATACTAGCCTCTTTTGTTGACATTTTTTGTCGTGAACACTGCTTTCATGCACTTACAGACAAACAAAAATCATAGAACTACAAACCAACCAAACGTTTGACTGCGGATCATTTTCAATAATGGGCTGTTCGTTATTCCTTTCAACCAACCAATAGATTTGTTGGGTGTCTGAAGTCACAATTCTCATGTAAACCGTAGACAGTGGAAAATGGAAGAGAAAATGAGGACCGCACCTTATTCTCTGATTTAGAATTGAACTCGCTGGCGAAAGGAGTGGATTCTAGCTCTGCCATGAACTTGGCCCTGCTTGGACTCATTGGCATGTAGTTTGTAGAAAGCTAAAATTTCAAAGAATGGTTGCGTGAATGTCATTCTTAATGGGAATATACAGTCAAATTAATTGGCGCTGGATCAGTGATGAATTCATTGGCGCTGATGACCCTTGCCTTGTAGCCTGCGCAAAGTTTATTTATCCTACCTTCCTTTTCATACCCTTTGTTTGCTTCCAAGTATAGTCATGATCCGTGCAAATGGCGTGTAAAGAGGCGTGATTTGGAGCGCCTTCAGTATAGTCCTTCCCATCAACAGCTGCGGACTCAGGATGGCCCCCACCGTTGGGAAAGGGCGCCTTGACAGTTCTCCAATCCACGCCCTATCCTCTGCAGGGATAATGACTTTAGCTGTGTGAAGTTCCGTTAACAGTTAAAATGAGGTAAATATAGAGATCGTAGAACATACTGCGGCTTTACCTTGGGTGTACTTGGACTTTTCGGAGTTTCCGCACTCGACAGAGCTCCGAGGGGATCCAGTGGGTTGATTTTAGCGCCAGAGTCGTCCTGAAGATGACTAGTAAGATAATTGTTTGAAAAAATAACAAGGCCGATACACTCTCATCAGATGGTTTTCATGTTTTTGTGCATCATTCACACTTACATCAGAACCGGAAAGATTGTGCTCCTTCCCATTTCCTTGAACGGGATGATACGAAATGACATAGGGTTTCGTTTCCAATTCGAGCGCCTCCTGAAGGAGTTTCATTTCATCCGATGGTACTAATGTGTATTATTAACTAGACAGTCGACGAGCCATACCAAACGCTTTTCTTCGGCTGCTTTATCACTGTGATATCCACTGTCACTCACTGATTGCGTGTCTGTCACAGGAGGATATATTGTGTGTGCATTCGAACGTATGCACATTTTGAATTTAGCCACAGCTTGCAGATGCAGCCTGAAAACGAGTGAACATGTAATAGTCAGCCAAAATACCAAAACAAACTCCTGCGACTGTATAGTTGAATGATCGCATTCAATAATGATCTTATAGCCACTTACTGACTCTTCAGAGAGGAAAACAAAGTAAGAAAAACATGGAGAAGCGACTCCATAGCAGCATCTCTGGACGTGTTTTCTGGACCTGTTCGTTTCACGCCAGCAAAACGATATCTTACTGCCTCTCGCTCAAATCGTTTCTTCGCCTCATCAAATGATAACACCACCTTACAGTGAAAAAAAACGCGGTGCAGAAAAAAAACTCGTGACAGAAAATATATTTTCGGTTTCGGTGGGCGGGGCAACTAAGGAGGCGTCAGAACTGTCATTAAGAGGACGTAGCGCCACCGCTACTTCCCGTAAAGCCGCGAAAGTGGAGATAGTTTTCAAGAATGACGTGAGGGCCAGACTACTTGCACAAGGAAGAATGCCCACGAATTGCTTAGCGCGGCGATTATCTTTAAACTTCAACACTTCAAGCGCTCCCCCGAAATGGCATTCAAGAAAGTTAGATACCATTAACTAATCACAAAAAAGCAATGCCCACCGTAGCGTAGCCCACGCAGATATTGCCCGTTGTCGAGAAGGAGAAGGCCACTTAGCATTCAGCACGGCACGATGGTAAATTCCATATGTGACGGCATTTTGCTCAACCCCAGCACGATGCATTGCCTACAAAATGGGTGGATATGAGATAAATCAGGAAAAGTTAGAAAACGCCAGCAATAGAAGAAGTAAGGATACTATATAGAATCTCACGTACTTGAAGCACTTTCACAGCTAGCGAAGGTTCTCCACACTCGCCACAAAGTTCAATGAGGATGCGGTAGCAAACTTGATCCAGAGGAAAAACTTCTGTATGCTCCATTCTATCCAAAATCTCAAAAAATTCATCCTTTTTAAAGTGACACCAAAAAGACACTGAATAATAGCGCTTACATGAAAGGCCAACAGTAGAATTTTACGCTTGTTCGGAGCAATGGCGACAAGACTCGGTAACTGCATAAACCACAGTGAATAAGCATAGAACAGGAGGGTTTTCGGCCAGTGCAAAGGGTTTGTGCGCACTGAGTTCGTCGCCGCAAGAATGGACGATTTCATTTCAGGTTTTGTTCGAACCGCGGCACATCGATTGTGTTCTGAAATTATATGTTCCATAATGTTTCATACCGAAATGGAAGTTTATGAGAAGTCGAAATCTAAGACGAACGACTACGTGAGTAGTAATAACGTATTGGGTAATCGGACAGCGCGGAACAAGGCATCCAAAAGATAAGGAAGTGAAGCTGAGCTCTCTCATAGCAGAATGGCAAACATATGAAACAAAGATATTTTTTGAACATGTTTTATTGCTATAACTGCTGCTTCACGCCGCATCCCGCAGTACGCGCTTCAAAAACTATCACAAAATTGCAGCACTGTCGGCGATTGTCCCTAACCAGAGAAGTACGCCAACTTACCATGGAACTTTGATGGAGACCTGGGTAGATCGATAGAGTCTATAAGGTTATTTACAAATATAGATAGCAAAACTGCAACCTGCATTTCACAAGCAACTTATGAGCAGGTAAAGTTTGTAATGGTGCAGTAGGGTGGAGGCTTGGTGGTGAGCTGTGAAGCATAAGCGAGGAATCGCATACGTCGAATCGAGTCGTGGTGGTTCAGTGGTAAGGTTCGACGTTCGACGACTCGATTCGACGTATGCGATTCCTCGCTTATGCTTCACAGCTCACCACCAAGCCTCCACACTACTGCGTACAAAATTTACCTGCTCATAAGTTGCTTATGAAATGCAGCTTGCAGTTTTGCTATCTATATTTGTAAGCAACCTTGTAAACTCTATCGATCTACTCAGGTCTCCATTTAAAGTCCCATGTAGGTTGGCGGACTTCATCGCAGCTCAGTGGCATATCATCTGTCCAATAAAATTTCCCAATAATTCCACATTAGTAATTTCTCATTTTGCCATTTAATTCCTGTAATAGCCTTTTCTTAGCTTACTCATCTGCTACAGTTGTTTTGACTTGAGCCTGAAACTGCATATTAATCGTCAGTCAAATGGAACCTTCGTGCGCATATAAGCGCACAACGATTGATTCGTCTGGTTTAAACCTCCACGAATAAAAGCTTTGACGAGATTATCGACTTAAGGCATTGAAAACAAACCTCGCACTTGCATATTGTGGGTAGTGGCGTATCACGAACCAATAGGCGCTAAGTGACTTCACGGGAAAGAAAAAAAAACAAGAAAAATCATGGAGAACACCCTGAAGACCCCTTCCCTGGCACCCTCACTGTACGAGTTGTCCGGACCTGCTCGTTTTACCCCAGCAAAGCGATATCCTGTCCTATCTGGCTCACTAATCGTTTCTTTGCGTCATCCAATGCTCACACCGCCTAACAGCGAAAAATAAGAAACAAAAATTTGGTGTGAAAAATCGAACTTCGACAGAAAATTGCCTCTGAATTTTGGTGGGCTAGGAAGGCGCCAGAATTGTCAGTTATGAGGGCCGCTGCCCCTTCGTTACTTACTGTGAGGCCACGGAAGTGGTACAGTTTCAGACGGGGACTGTCTTTAAGGCGATAAGAGCCATAGTCTTAGCAGCCTAGGCATAAAAGCCATTGAGTTGAGAGGGTAAGAGTGGTTTCAACGCCGTGATGGATAGCGCACTCGCTCGGAAGGCAAGAGGAGCGAGTTCGAGGCTCAGAATTTGTGTGATAACTCAAGATTTATAAGGAACTCAGAAACAGCCCGAACTCAGAACGTCATTACATAATGTTTGAAAAGGCTTCGTTTAAACGAAGCATTACATTGAAAACAATTAATAAGCTTACGACAACCAATCCTATTTACCATGCACCTATGGCACAACTTCAGTGTGGTTATTCTAGCCATAAAAACAAAATGTGCTCTCACATAACGTACCGTACTGCACTGGTACAGTGTGCTGGTCAGCGGTGCGATTCAAATTCAGCTGATCCAGCTGAAACAGGGCAGGATCCAAACGACGTGGGAACCGTTCATATTTGAATTCACGCTCAAGTCCCGTGGCAGGATCAATGATCGGTTCTGGAGGTGCAATGAACACCTATAAGTTTTATGTCATGATATATTCCAATACGTAAATGAGAGAACTATGCCGCTCATTTGCAGTTTCTTTGAAAAAAATGGAAGAAGTGAGCTCACAGAAGTATTATTGAGGTGGGCGGAGGAATCAGACTCTAGAAGAGGCACATCACTCCATTCTGAAATTGAGCATGCTATTGGAAAGCAAACAACCTTTCAATTTCTGCACTTCACTCACCACAGGCGTCCACTTTTGCTATACAATCATCAAAGAAAGCGTTGTACGTGCTCTTATCGGATATGAAGCTACGCTCTTCAATGAAACGAATGAAAGATTGAGTAGCGCCGAATCTGAAAATTAAAGTGAACGTCGAGCACGGGATGATTTCAAGAACCGTACCTTTTAAAAAACTCCACTCCAGATTTATCCCTTGATTTCAGGAAACCTTCTAAATCGAATAAGTTCCCAGTGTCAGTCGCGCTTACACTTGCCTTCGCGCGTGCAACTCACTTTTGATAGGCTTCAAAAACGACTGGTAACCACGCATTAGATTCGCCATAAATCTGAACAATTAATTACATCGTGTATCTTTGTGAAATAAAAGTAGCTCCAACTCGTCGTGACCGAAATATGTTAAGCAACCTCAAAAACGCATCATGAATTGCCATCTCCAACTCTTTTCGTTTCTTTTGTATCACCATTTCACGATCCACAGGAACATAATCCGCTTTCTTACTTCCAAGATCGAAGGCCTCTTTATTTAGCCTGAAATAAAGGAGACTCTTGGCTCCAAACCATTCACCAAAGTCCAGTTCAAAAAGGAAAACAATATTGCTTCGTACGGCAACCATCACGGCCTATTGAGCTACACAAAGTTAAGTCCGCGATCAGACATTCTGGGTAGTGGAGCTCAAGCAGGGAGAGGTCAAAAAAGTCAGCGGCGGAGAAGAACAAAAAAGGTCGTTATTTTCCCGATTTGAGCCTCCAATGCGAGCGCATTCGTACGAGAAGAGGGCAGGACTGTGATGGGAAGAGATCATTGAACAATGGTATTGCGGTGTTACGGGCGCCGCACATCCCAGCCGATTTGATTTGATTGGAAAATGGTCAACTTCGCATCCAATCATTGAGTACCTTCGAATTTTATTCTATTAACTCTATTTCTCTTAACTGTCAGAGTAAAGCTCTTCTAACCTCCTGAATAAGTCATCCAGCGTCGCCTTCAGTTGTTTTGTTGGTTTCTTCGGCAGAATCGACAGCTTTAATGTTTGTCGATTCAATGACTGACTTATCGTGGCCGTGTCTAGGTCGAAGCAGGTCACATCGGGAGGAGGGTCTTCATACAAGTCAAAGTATCTAAATAGAGTATATTATGAACATTCGACAAAAAAAGTATAAGGAACTACATTTGATTCTCATCTAATAGATTGTCAAAAAGGTAACCTTGAATCGACTCCAGCAATAAATGGCAAAGGAGCATGAAGAACACCGGCCAACCCGAGAGGACACTGAGGAACATATGGACATTGCCAATGGAAAGGAAACATCAGGGCACAGACGCTCTCAGCAACAGCCGTCAACATCCACGACCTGTAAAACACACTTCCTGAAGAGAGAGCTTCTTGCTAAAGATCATCCAACAAACTCCACGGAGTAGACATACCTCAGCGAATGTACCAATATTTTTTGTTCCAACAGCGCGAGCATCATTAGATAAATAAGGTTGTCTGTACCAAGCGCTCTGAGCGTGTCGCACAGCTGAGCACCTAGAATGGAATGGTAAAAATGAGTGAAGACACCATCCATGTGGCTGAATCCAGACCGTTTAGTCTGAATAGAAAAAGTACCGTTCAAGGGTAATTGGCTCTCGTCGTATGAGTCAAAACTGATTGTTTCAGATCCTAGCTGCATGAGAACATATGGACGTCGTGGTGTAGGAAAAGACACTTCGAACATCTGAATTGCATGTTGTATACAGGCTCATGGAGAAACTTCTTTCACATCGTATTTGTTTTCTTTTTAGTTCTTAATCGCATGGCTCCTTAGCAGGATGCAGGGTCGTTCCTAAGGAAAAATAGGCGAACAGTTCAGTTAGAAAAGATGTACGTCACTTCAGCCTGATATCCCTTGATTTGTATCTAACTTAAACGGTAGAACCAAAAAGGTGCAGACAACAGCCCTACATGATGCGGTGCTCAGAAATGGAAGAGCGCCTCCCCATGGCGATTCGATAAAGGCATTCACAAAGGAGATAGGTCGGGGTCATGGGGCGCTTGTTTGAAAAGAGTTACAGCATATTGTAGGGGAGTGACTGCTGATTATAGGAGTGCGGTTCATGGTCCAGTTGCTGGGAATGCTAAAAGCCAGGTAACAGTTAACTGGTTTCCGTTCCCAAAGTGAGGTTCATTTTCCTCAGTGCTGAATGAATTGCCAAAAACCGAGGCAGTGATAATTCAACACCCAAACATTCGCAGATTCCCTTTAAAAAAAGGAAATTCTCTTACATCGAGTTCGTCATGAGCTCGCTTAAGTCTTCTAACCCACTGTTTTTACTCCTAGAAGCGTGAAGTGAAACGAACTACAGTCTTGTGGCTAAGACATGCACCCCACAACATGTGATAAATGGTTTCAAAAAAGTGCTTTGTGACCTCGAACCCCTCCTTATCGAGCGAAACTACTATAGGTGTACAAAGGTGGCAAAGAGTGACTCAAGACATAACTATTCGATTTACATCAGTACTAAAGAACCATTGTAGGAATGAGCACACTTTGTGAACATTGATGTCAGAGTCATTACCTTTCAAACGACAACTTACCAAATGAGAAATGTAACGTTCGATGGGGACAGCATGCACTCCTCCTCCTATAGACATCCTGTGTATGTAGTAAAGAAAACGTTTGAAAGAGTTGAAGAAGGGATATCTCGATATAATGCATATGGCAATGTTCGTGTAAAAAGTCATCTGAAAATGTAGTAAAGTAAGGTGCAGCGAACTGGTTTACTCCACAAAAGAAAACCGATTAATACGTTGACAGCGATGGCACACAATGTTCTCTGCTGTTTTATTATTATTTTAATAAAGATGTACAAACAGCCAAGTTCGTTGAAAATGTGTCCCCAGCGATAGCTTCCCCTCTAAAACGAATGTAACAGTCGCTTGGCACGAGATGCCCAGCGCCGCGCCAGGTGCCAGTTTTTAACCTCGTCACTTGCATTTCTTCATACAATTTGATCCTTGTCATTCATTTACTTGAAAATTACTAAGTTACAACGAAGAAAAATGTCCCGTCCCACGGCAAGTCATGAAGAAAAAGATTCGTCGTCAGCATGTTAAACGGCTCTATGACTAACCTCGTCAGCAGGATCGTTGTTACTCGAGCTATCCTCAACTGCACCAGCTTCATCTACCCGGCCTGATGAATTGAGTTCTAATTGTTCTAATTGCTCTTCCGACAACTTTTCATCATACTTCTCGAAGAATGATACAGAAGCGCCATAGAACTTTGTTCCGTTCTGAGAGAAAAAAAGCTACAATCACTGAAATAAAAGAAAGGGGATTCCACAACGGCTTTAACCCACTTCATCGGTGAGAACAAAGGTTGAGAAAACTCTGTCCGGTGGTTGGCATTTCACTGGCCAACATTCGATAAGCGCACCCATGGGAAGACAAAACAGCGATATATTCTGAGCCAATTTGAAATCATCGTCGTTGTTATCTCCGCCCTTTCCTTTCGGGAAGTAATCGAGAACCTGAACAAAAAACAATTGTCAATTCTACGATAACTCCAACGGAAGATGCTTACTGTTGGTTTGTATGCTAATCGTTTTGTAGAGCACTGTGATTTCTTGTAGCAGATATAAACATCTGAACCAACCATACCCTGCAAGATATTCTTTTCAAGCTGCTTTCGAGAAAGTGACCCATTAAAAATCGAGTAACCTTATTTAAATTCTTCGGAATTTTGTAGTAAGTATGCAAAGGAATTTCTCCCTTATTAGCAAGTATAACGCAGATGTCGGTTACAACAAACTGGCTCGGTGCACTACTGGGAACAGCCCGTCGATAAGTTAGAAATATATTCTGAAAACAAAGGAGTCCTGGTAAAGAAGTGCGGAAGAACAAATAAAACCAATTTTCTTTAAGAAGAACTAACTTGAGAAGCGTTATTAACATTCGCCGGCCGTCCAAAAGGCGTTGTCTGCACAATGTTAGTATCCACCATAGGCTTTTCACCCCGTCCTACGATGAAAGTTCCGGTCAATTCGAAATAATACAATGTTTTCAAGACAGGAATACACTTTAGTTCGCTGCGACAAAGGGGCGTGTCAGGCGGATGAGTGGGGCGCGGTGCCAAACCTGTTCTCCTGCTAGTTCGTTGAAGGGAGCAAGTGACAGACTGTATCATATCGTTCGTATCACTCGTTTTCTGCCAATTGTTCTTGCATACCTGCTTCAACAACTGGCAGAGAACGGGTTTGGCGCCGTGGCACCCATACTGCCTGACACGCCCCTTCATCCACAGCGAAGTAGAGTATAACTTACGGCGATTATCGAGCGTTCAGCAGATGAACGAAGGATTGCAAAAGCTCACCATATTCAATCAGTCCAATGTCCAGCAATGGAGGCTTGTGATATCCCCTGCGATAACAGAGAAAGACGCTTGGCATACGTATTGAGCCATGATTTAGATCAGCAGGATACCCCAATTGTGTGGTTTCAATTATCTCGTAGCCTTCGGGAGCCTGCAAAAGAGCTCTGAAGAGAAACATCAAGCAGATCCAGAACTATGTTAATGTCCAGAAGTGATAGATCTTGTAAGCATACCGTTTCACCAAGACTAGGGAATATGACACAGATATCAGTAATTGGAGCGAGAGGAGAACTGTTCCGAAAGCCGAATTCTTGTGATGATGGGGTGGCTTGCTCAGGTGCTTCCTAAAGAAAAACTTCAGGCTCACACCTAAAAAAATAGAAAGAATTACTTTGGTAATCTAGTCAACAATGGAAAAAAGTAACAGCAGTCGCAACAATAATATAGTGGCAGCAGCCGTATTAAGATTAAGAAAAGTCATAAACAGTCTGAAATTAGGTTTTCTCTATCAGCTCTCGCTCAAGGATTCAACATCTGAACTGAATTTTACGCAAACTGATTTGCTGATGAAGAAAGAAGTGGATGTTATGCCGAAGACGCAGAAAACAGAGCCTATGCCGAAACAAGGCGTGTGACTGGACGAGCGTCACGATAAGCGAGAAACTGCTGCGCGATTATCCAATGGACCCACTTTCTTGCTTGTGCAGGTGGTTCATCCGGGCAGCTTCGAGTGTGTTCATACTTTGCGCCAGCCCTTTAAGCGTACGGTAGCGTTTTAAGCGACTAGGAAAGCACAGATATCGACTTAGCACTCTGAGCGTACGCCAGCGTTTTGGACATTTCGCGTGTAGTTTTGAGCTTTCCGCAGACACCGCTGTAAACTCACTCTCAAACACGCGCTCAAAAAGCTCAAAACGCTGAGGCGAAGTATGAACGCAGCCTTAGAATTGTCCCACTTTAGCAGCTCCATAAGGAGAACTTCGTGGTTAGTCAGCCGAACGAACGTGACCGTATAAGGTGCCTCACCAACGAGCGATATAAGCCAATGGCCCTATATCTACAATGCGTTACGGTCACATTAAGTGGGACCTGCGGTAACTCTCTCAGCTTCCAGTCCTCATCCTCTAGCCTCTTGCTTGTGCAGCAGCGTCTCGTTTCCAGAGATACTCGTCCAATTATAGAACCTTATTTGGAACGTCTTCGACGGCTATAGTCCGGATTCCAGTTTCATCGCATGGAACTTATAGAAGCTGTCATAAAGAGCGATTCTATTATGGTTCCCTTCATGGAACTGAAGCCATCAGATAAGGATGTCCATATGTCCATATCTTTTTCTGTTCATTTTCACTGAACCTTGAAAGTTCCAAAACCAAAATAATGGTCCGAAAAATGCGATAATTTATATTGAGGCAAGATAATACCTGCGAAAGACCAGCGATCACGAAATGTTCGAAAAGGCGTCGATCGTCATCTTTGTTCGACATTGCTGGTCAGTGTGACCAGGCGGTACCACTGTAAAAAATAAAGCTCGTGTGTACTGACTAAACAAAATGGTAAGGCGAAAAATGACCCAAATCCTTTTGAAAACAGAGATTTCGGGGAAAAAACATTCAACAATTTTCACGTCGACTAATCGACGAATATCAGCCGCTTCAACAACCTGTTGTCACAGAAAAAGACCTATAGATCAAAATCTGGGGGATCTGAAGAGCTATGATGAATACTCCGAGCTAAATCACCAGTACAAGCAGGTCGTTTAAAAACGCCCACCCATGTGATTCAGCAAAAATCGTACGAGTCGTTTATTTTATCATGGGCGCGTTATTTATGAATGGAGCGCGATAAGCGGCAACTATCAAGCATGGTTGTGGTCGTTGGCACTCGCGCTGCATCATACGCAGATAATGACGAAATATCCTGGCTAGGATTGGGGTGCTGAACCGTAAGGCCTCCATGGACCATGACGTGAAGATTGGGGGTGATTTCCTGAACATTGATGTTTTCCTTCGTGCTCCTGTAAGCCGCGTCTCAAGGCGACGGCGGGTTAGAGTGACGAAGCCGCGATCATCTGAATGTTTTCAGGAGGCGTGATGGGGCGGCAGAGGAAGCAAGCGAGGAGTCGACCGCCATCATCAGATAGCTGGCTCCGTTTTTCTTCTCAGGGAGAGGCCCTGCTTCCTATAATTGCAGTTGAACGTAGATCATCGCTTCTCGGGCCCGACTCCGGGCACCGTCACCATCATAGTACTTTCATAGATGGGCATATTTACTTGTACCACCTTTCCTGTTGTGTCTTTTCAGTGGATCGGCTTCCTTATCGTGCTTTCCAATGAAGCTGCCTTGCATCTATGTTTGCTTTAAATCCTTATGAATTGTTGTGAATTAGCGTGTGTCATTTTGGGCATTATGACTTGTTGTCGAATTGCTGATAAAATTAGGACCTTCTCTGTTTTATTGGTATTCAAAGCTAACATGTTATCTGTTCTTACGCAACTATTTGTTGTATAAAGTTGTATTCACCGTTGTAGTTATCGCTTTTTTAGCCCACTGTCCAACCTAATATGTCTTCTCCTGGGTTCTACTCCTACCTGACATCACTGCTTCCCCTTCATCTTCAACTGGAATGCTCGCCCCTTCACCTTTATATGTATCCCCACCTTACGTGCACCCCTCTGCACCCCTCACATCTTCGTACTACATTGACCAGTTTTCATTCTATAGTGTCCCCCCCCCCTGCACCAACACCTTCACAGAGTCAGACTCTGCCTCACGTTCTCCCCTTTGCCCCAGCACCACCGTATTACATCAATAATACCCCCTCCCTCCTTCAACTCCCCTTTCGCCAGGTGTCAATCATCTGTCGCAACCACGGCAATTTAAAGGAGAACGACAGGTAAGCAAATACGTAAGACATTGTTGTTAACTTATTTATGCCGAACAAGGTTGTTAGATAGAACCTTTTATTGGCCCGACGTTTCGACCTTCTCGTCTTCTTCAGAGGCCTGAAAATGGCTCGAAGCTTTAATTTGTCACCTTCCCCACTCTAGCGTTTCCGACCGTGTCCCGAACGCCCCCGAAGAACCCAGTAATAACTGCGCTCAACTCACCGAGGTTCCACCGTGCGGAGCCTAGCTCACGCTATGTGTCAGTAGTAAGTAAGGACGAATGAGTCTCACTAGAGTCTCATCGTGTCACATAAGTCAAAATTGTCATTGTGCACGTCGCCCTTACTGTAGCTCGCACTCTGATACAAACGGCAAGAACTCATTAGTAATTGACGGACACTCGTTTCGGCCGTTCATCCTTGGTTTTCTCGCAAAAATCCAAAACGATTCCTGGGCTTTCAGTAAGGACGACGTGCACAATGACAATTTTGACTTATGTGACACGAGAGACTCTAGTGAGACTCATTCGTCCTTACTTACACTACTGACACATAGCGTGAGCTAGGCTCCGCACGGTGGAACCTCGGTGAGTTGTGCGCAGTTATTACTGGGTTCTTCGGGGGCGTTCGGGACACGACGTCGGAAACGCTAGAGTGGGAAGGTGACAAATTGAAAGCTTCGAGCCATTTTCAGGCCTCTGAAGAAGACGAGAAGGTCGAAACGTCGGGCCAATAAAAAGGTTCTATCTAACAACCTCGTTTGGCAGAAATAAGTTAACATTCGACATCATGCCAAGGTTACAAGAAGGGACAACTTGGAGATTATTGGAAGGCATTGTGTTCTTATATACAGGATTCCAGGCACGCAATATGCCTACACGTTCGCGAAGTATCGTAAGATAAAAACGAATCGCTGCGTACAGTGTAGAAAGGAGAGTAGAAGTTGTGGTGAGGATGTTTTGGGAGACACTATCAAGGTGGATTTTGGAAAGAAAATATTTCCATCTTACTTCAGCATGTTTTGAGCATCCGTTGTTCAGGTAGTCGGTTATGAGTTCTCACACATGAATGTCAACCGAGAATTATTCGACAGAGAGAGGGACTAGAGCGTTTTACGAGGTTAAAATGTCACGCAATTTGAGCAGGTGGGTGGATCGGTCGGTGACAATGGAAAATGTCCCACACGATTTGCGGACTCTTTAAGATGGGTCTCATTTCCTCCAATTTCACGAACCGAGATTCCATATATATTATTCTGTGAGAACCATCGAGGTATCGTTCACATTTATAGCAGTCCACCCGTTTTGAAGAAATAAGATAGTTCCAGATGGCTCTTGAAAATGGGCTCTATGCAATCGTCGCGGATGGTGTGCACTCACTGCACCCGAAGAGCCTGGGATACCATGCACAACTGTATTGTGTGCATGGAGTTTGTAGCCGAGAAGTGGACGTGCCGCTGATGTTCTGCATCACGGAAAAGAAGACGCGTCGGGTTTATAAGAAGATTTTTGAGCACTTGAAAACGAATCTGCGAGGGGAAACCCCTCGACGCATAGTGCTCGACTTCGAAAAGGCAGCTATTCATGCTGCCAAAATGGTCTTCCCTACCGCGTCTGTGGAATGCTGTGCATTTCATTCTGGCCCAGGCCTGGAACCGAAAAAGGGACGCACTCACACTTGGGAAGTACATCGAAGACCCCGAAAGAGATGCTCGCTTCGTTAAGTGGTGGGAACGTTGAAAGGTTGCATCGTTATTTTTCTTTAGTCGCCGCTATCATGAGTATGTATATTCTTAGTATCACAGGAATCGTTTTTCTCCCACAAGGGCTACTGCGGGATGTACGAGCCCTGCACAATCCTCCGGTACCCTTAGCGACCACAGTGCCTATGCAGACTGCCAGGAGTTCCTAGATTATTTGAGGACTATCTGGATTGACGGACCATTTAAAGGACTATGGTGCAAATGGGGTCTTGAGGAAGTTGAGAACAACCAACTTGGCTGAGGTCTTCCATAGGTATATTGAAGTTGTCAGTTGGCGAGTATGCCTCTAACAAGGGAGGTCTTTCAGGTCGTGGCGCGCTTTTCAGAAATGGTTTGTTGCATGTTGTAGGGGTCCATATAAGGATCACAAAAATGGGTTTCGTTTTTGCTATGCGCTTCTGGGAGGTCAAAAAATGGGTGAAAAGTTTGCTGGGGAAAAGCGATTTTGAACCATTTTTCTAGGCTTTTTTTCTATCTCTAATGTTGAGTATGCACAGCAAATGAGACCTTCGTCGACACTGCATCGAAAACAATACAAGTCAAGGTGAAAAAGTACTTTATTTGGCACACAGTGAGGCAGCATTGTAGTTTCTCAAGTGATTCTCGCAGCCCGCAGTTAGGGAGGGGGTAGGTATCAGAGCCATGTTGGCGCCAAATGACCTAGGCGCCAGTTATAAAGGTCAGAACCGTGATCAGGGCCGTCAATAACCTCTATATACAGACAGCAAAATTTTCTCCTCGAGCTGAGCGCTTAACAGCCCATGCGTGCGGGTTGACAACAATTCAGTGCAAGAATGCTCTTGCAGCAAATCGGCGATAGGCTGCGCCGTGGTCAAAAATGAGTGTCGTACTCGTGAGTAGGGTATCCAGTCATCCCCGGAGCCCAACTTTCAGCAAGAGTTTCCTCAGTAATGTTTGAGAGCAATAGTTAAGTAGGGTCGACTCGTGAAGTTTGAGTGTACAGAATGAGCTCTTAAATGGCATATATCCATGTTATATACATCACCACGCACGCAGGAACACAAGGAGACAGAAATCCGAAAAACGCATAAAGTATCCGAAAAATGAAAAATCCGGCGCCAAGAGGATCCGATCCGCAAACCTTCTCCGTAAGAGCCGACCGCACTATCCACTCCGCCATCCGCCGACCACGAAACACTGGTTGCGGGAGTCGTTGAAGTAACTTCGGTACTACTTTTCTCCATGCACTTCTTTTTGACTTTATTTTGCTCTCTTTTCGATACATAGTGAAGGAACACCTCATAAACTATGCACTCTCAAAGTTACAGCTACAACAGAGCCCAATAAGACGGTTAAAATCGCCCTTTCTTGTCAAATTGTTTTCACTCATTTTTGACCTCCCCAGAAATGCATAGCAAAAATGAAACCCATTTTTGTAATCCTTGTATGGACCCTACAAGGATTACAAAAATGGATTTCAAAAAGCAACAAGCCATTTTTAAAAAGCGCGCCACGACCTGAAAGAACCTCCTTGTAACTGCCGAGTGAACAATTTTTTTTCAGGCGGGTTCAGGTGATTGCATAGGTCGACCACCCACCTATTGAGCATCTTGATCGAAATTTTGAAGAAGCGAACTTATGAGGCTAAAGCTGCTCTCACGCGCCTCAAAGAGGTAACCCATTTTGGGAGTTGAGAGCGACTTTTTATTGTTACTTTTCGAGGAATCCTGTTACAGAATCCTGCCGATGCTAGAGCGTCACGAGGGAAGCACATGGAGAGGAAGCCAAAGATTTCCGATGTAGTTCTGTTAACCTATTTAGCTATGGTTTTATTTCTCCAGATCCAAAGTCATCTACCAACAAGGACCGTCTCAAGACGAAGTAGAATCCTACTGCAGGAGAATGTCACACTACGTGACTGACAAACCTACATAACAACACATGAGTTTTTCTTTTGCTTCTTCTGATAAAAAGTATATTTTGGGTGTTTCAATAAATATTTCATTTATCTGTTTCTCAAATTATTGATCTTTCTGCTTTCGTTGCGAAGATATGTGGATAACAGGATGACCTCTGAGCCCTCTCCCCTTAATGAGGTCATCTCGCAGATAGACACCAAGTTTTCGCACCTCATTAAGGCTGTCTCGCTGCCAGGTACGAGTCACCTCTTAATTAGGTGCGATCGTGCCGATAATGGCTGACCCAAGCAAGCGAGGAGTCAACCGCCATCATTCAGATAGCTGGCTCCGTTTTTCTCTTCAGGGAGAGGCCCTGCTTCCTATAATTGCAGTTCGTACGTAGATCATCGCTTTCGGGCCTGACTCCGGGCACCGTCACCATCATAGTACTTTCATAGATGGGCATATTTACTTGTACCACCTTTCCTGTTGTGTCTTTTCAGTGGATCGGCTCCCTTAGCGTGCTTTCCAATAAAGTTGCCATGCATCTATGTTTGCTTTGAATCGTTATGAATAGTAGCGTGTGTCATTTCGGGTGTAATGATTTGTTTTCGAATAATTGATAGAACTAGCACTTTTTCTGGTTTCCTGTGCGGCCTTGGCTTACTGGTAGCAGCGAGTGGTTGCACCCTCGCTGATGGGTTTCCGCTTAGTAAGGGAAAGGTAGCAGATAAAATTTTCGGTGCCCTCTTCCTTGGGCACACTCGAGAGGGCCTGGCATGCTGACAGCTGGTGTTTCGGCGCAAAGGGAAAAATCTCGCTTGAGTGGTCGACCCCAGTCAACATACCCAGTAACCATGCCCAGATGGTCGCATTGCTTCCTTTTTCTTCTACCATTCATTTGAGAATCTAGAAAATTTAGCAATTTCTTCACTTATCAGAAACGTTTCTTGTCTATATGGCAGGAGGTCTCGTTGAGATTTTGCTGCATATTCGATAGTACAAAGCTAATTTGGAGTGATTCGTGTTTGAACATTTCAGAACTCCTATGTCGAGGTGAAAACGTGAGTGCAGCCTGTGATGGTTACATTTTAATCCGCTGCGGACGGTTGGGCATGTCAGGCAGTATGAGTGTTCACACCGTCAAAGCCGTTCTCTGCCTTCTTGTTGAAACGCGCATGCGACAAAAAGTGGTAGAAAACGAGTAATACGAAGGATATGATACAGTATTGTCACTTGCCCGCTTCAACAACTGGTGGAGAACGAGTTTGGCACCGCGCCAAACGCAGCCGCACTGACACGCCCAACCGTCCGCAGCGAACTACACTATATGTCTGATGATCCATTTCACGCGTGTTTCTTCGGTGCACCACGGATGGGCCCTGATCTCAAAGTCACTTGCTGATTACATGGACCACCGTGATTTGGCCTCCGGTTTCCGAATGGCCAACCACGTCGTCATTGTCACGCACGTCATAGGCGCTCTCCCTGCGGTTCCAGAACCCCAGTGTGTGAATCGCCGAGTGATCCCAACTTCATCTTTCTTAGGGTGAAGAGCGCCCTTCATTATGCGAGCGTCCTTTCGTAACCCGGCTGGCAATTGCGGAAGTGCCAGCGTGCATTTAAGTTCTTCCTTTTCATCGCAGTCAAAATTCGAAAATAACGCTATTCATTTAATACTCGTAGCTCCTCGTGGAAAAACTGGGTTTCCTTCATCATCCTGCTAGCTAAGTCCGGCGTCACCCGCAATCGAACATATGTCCTTAAGCGGCATGCCCTTTGTAGAACCTGGCGAAGTACAAGGCGCGTTACTTGTCAACACTTAGCGACAAAATATGGAAGATGATCCACCAGAAGCGGATCACCTAGTACCTCCCCTAGCCTCACCTTATCGCGATCTCATTCAAACATGATCGGCTCCATATGGCTGCGGTTTGGCGTATCTCTACTATTCAACTATATACTATTTATTTGTCGTCCATACGGCTCGTTTCAAAGAACTCGCTGGATCATCGCCTCCTTCGTGAACTTGCTAAGAACGTATTTCTTTTCGTCATTATCCAGCTCGAGTTATTATGTAGGTTCGTCTTCTCGTATCGTGTCATTCTGTTCCCAATTCCTTAAGGGCTTGCGAATAAGGAAATGAAATCCTTGTAGCTTTTTAAGTCTTTTGCAATTGTGTCTAGCTCGAAGTGCTTTGTTTGTTTGGGCCACATTGCGCTTGCCATTCTTCTTCCTCTTCTTTGTTTTTTCCAGTTATTCGGCACGTACAGTCAGGGAATAGAGCACGCGCCCCCTGCAAGGAGAAAAGACCCCCCCTCGGCTATCCTCGTCCAGAAGTCATTCGCTGTGCGATTCTGCTATCAGCGAGGTTCATCTACTGCTACTGCGTATTTAAGTCTGCTAATCATGGGCCCACCTGTGACTGAGTCTCAGACCCATGCCGAGGACTCCGGGCGGTTGCCTATACCATCCAAGAGTTCTTAGGGGTCGGATGCAGGTCCACTTGGATGATAATTCTAAGGTGCATGGGAGAAACGCGAAGACCCTGAGAAACTTTACGGTTCTGGCAGTCGCAGAGGTTCGAGATTCTTCGGAAGCGTTTACCTGCCAGCTGGCTTAGAAGGTCAACGACGGTAACGTCGAACTCCTGTCAAATCTTAATTCGTTTTCAACGTTTGTAGGCGCTCGTAGGTCATCGGCGATGAAGCGTCGCAGATACCAGAGCCGGTACTCTTCACCATCGTAGGCGCTTGGCTGACACCCATCACGTTAACATTGGAGTCGTGTATCAGCTAGTCCCGCACGCTGAATGCCCAGACGGCTCCAACCCTCGGGACCCGTAGCGTGATGAGTCTCCTTTTGGTGACCACCTTCCGCTTGCATCCCGTCCTCATCCTACCGCCCAATGGCGTGGCCTACGACAGGCTCGAAAGCGGGACACCGGCAGAATGCGGCAGATGCTGCTGGCAGTGATGGATTTTCCACCAGGGGGGGGGTCTCTTCCTTCACATGGACACCATAAGGTACTCTACGCAGGTTCCAAACAAGTCCCATTTTGGAGCGACCAAGGCTCTCTGCACGCACCTTGCGGCAGCTTCTTTTGAAGGTATTTTTGCAACCTTCATCTGTGTAATCTTGTAATATAGGTTTTGACTCGACCATGAATGGTAGGTCAGAAGCCCGTAGTACCTTTCGATACTGGGTGTAATCTTGTAATCTCTTTTCATAGGCAATAGTATCGGCAATGCAGGGCGAGCTCAACACCTTGAATGTGGAGCTGACCGCAGTGGATTCTGTCCAGGGCCGAGAGAAAGAGGTTGTTAATAAATCCTACAACCGGAACAGGATTTTCTTCAGATACGGCAGAGTTCTTGGATGA